GCGGATTGCCGATCTGGAAAACCCTGAACAGTCGCGTGAAGTGATGACGTCAGAGGGATTTCCCCAGTGACGAAAGCAGAGGATGGGGAATCTGGTTGGGGGTTTATAGACGCAATGAATTAGATCTCTCCCCTGCCGCTCGCGTCATTCCAGCACGATCCCCTTCCTTTTTTTTTTCAAGGAGTTCAAAGACCTTGACCTACACTGTAGATAATTCAATCGCTCGCGGAAGAGGGTTGGTGCGAAGGGAGCAAAAAGGAAGCGTGTAAGAAGAAAGAAGAATCTCATCGTTCCCACGAAAGAGTTTTTTCTTTTTGCTTCTATTCAGGATGCACGAAAGATTCGAGAGCAGTAAAAAAAAAATGTTTTGGGTTTCGCTTCAAGGGAGACGAGATAAGAGGGCACAGATATCTCAATTGCAGGTCATCAACGATTGAACGCGATCAGCCGAAGGCACAATTTTTCTTTTAAGTGCGAAAGCAGGACGCGGTCTTTCATAGCAAAATAATGTTTTATTCGAAGCAGTGACTCTCGAAGGATTTCCTTCCACTATCTGCGCCGGGGGCTTTTTAGGGGGGATCTCAACCTCTCCTTAAATCCGTGACTGAATGAAAGAGAATAATCTTGAGCTCGTCATTACTCTCAAAGCAGAACTGTTCGAAATACTTCTTTGAGCAAGACGCGTGAGGGTTTCACGCTGTGACATATTGGTGCATCGAGCAGATGACATGATTATTATATGTGAATCCCCTTTCTTGAATCTTTTCAGACAGTCTCACAGCAGCGGCTGGTGATGGAAGACAGGCGACAAAAAAGACTAGAATAGGAATAGAAAATTTGTTTTTATTTCTTTTCCATTATCTTTTTCGTTTTTCAAAATAAACGTATTGGAAATCGGAATCCATCCCTCATTGTGGATCGGCTCGCCATCATCCAAGCGAACGCAAGCAAATGGCACGGTAAAGATCCTGCTGAACATGGACGAAAGATACACTGCACGAAGTCAGCTGGACTAGATATGGTATACAGCTCCGCCTGGCTTGGCTCACACCATCAAGAGAGAAAAATACAAAAAAAAACCACAAACGTCATGAGACAAGGTAACATAAATCCATGAATCCTCCACTCCCCGTCTCAGGTCAGAAATAAATACAAAAAATCATTCGCAACGGCGATTCGCGAATGATGTCCCCATTGTTAATCGGCAACACTCAAAAAGAAATTTTACCTCAACAGACAAGGCACAGAATCCTGGAATGTGATTAAAGTCCGATGAAAACAAAAACAGCTTCTATACCAACATAAAAATAGTTTCAGGGATGTTCACTGGGAGGATGTGTTAGGACCTGCTGTGAAGATCACACGAATCGGAATGATGGAAATTGTTTGGTGACGTGAGGAATGATATGCTCTGACTTGGCACCATGCAGGCATTGACAACTGGCTTTGGCAAGCGGACCGATGAGTTTGCAACCACACGTGATGAGTCCACCCATTCGCAGGCAAACGAAGAGACTGAGCAAAAATTCTTGGGAGAACTGTGCGATCAGAGTTTTGGTCATAAGCGAGAGTGCTCCTGGTCGGAGACGAAGCCACGATTGTGGTGGTAAGCCTTGATGCGACCCTGTTTGTCGTTCAACTTCCTCCTCGATCGGGATACATAGCGGTCGTAGTCCTCATCGCTCACGTTCCCGGAATCGTACATTTCGGAGACTGGAGGCTGGCGACGGGGAGGGCTGGAGAAAGTGTAGCGACGGGTGGGTGTGTACACTCGCCCGTTGCTCTTGCTCAGGCTTCCCTCACTCGAGTCTTCACCCGATGTGCCCAAACCCATGTCCTTCTCCAGATTGTCGCTATACAACCTTTTGGGCAAGAAGTTGGCCTTATGGTCCAATGACGCTGGTTTGAGGACCACTTCCGAGCGATGTAATGTTGTGCCCGGTGGGATGTAAGAAGTGATAGCCATGATACCCGGTGGCAGCGCCTTCATATATGGATTGTCGACTTCCATCTTTGGCCTGTCTCGTCTGCATGTTCCTCGCCCGACCAAGGACAAAAGGACCGGTAGGAGGAAGAGTCCATGCACGGCTCCAAAGAACATCACCATGAAGACGAGTTTGAAGAAGGTGACAAAGATGTATGAATGGGCGAAAGTGAGAGCCAAAATTCCCAGAATCGTGGAGATAGAACCCTGAAGGATTGGCATTCCAAGATGATGAAGAGCCTCGGCGACTCGTTTATTCGTGTCCTGTTCCTTGGCCGACATGAAAGCGTACGAGATGTGAGCCGAGAAGTCCACCGAGAACCCGATGCACATGATGAGGTTGATCATCGAGATGGAGTCCAAATTCACATTCCAGAGCGCCATGTAGCCGACGACCCCGGTCTCGATGGAGATGATGGAGAAGGCAACCCATAGGGAACACATGGGATGAGGGATGAAGATTAGCGACACGACCATCATGATGATCGCGGCCGTCGTGATTGCTTTGATGGCTGTCGGCCGCACCTCAATGAACTGTTGAGAAACGAAATTTGAAAATCAGCTGCCGTCTAGAATCTCCGTGGGACCAAGTCACATCGGACGAATGAACGTACTTGGTCAAAAAAGACAAAGAAATGCTGATAGGCAGAGATGTTGAAGGGACTGGAGTCGATGATATCCCTCAGTTGTTCCATGAGAATGCGATCATCATTTGTCGACTCCCCCATATTTCCAGCCTGAATGATGAAGCGTGCTGCTATAATTCGATCCTCGGCCTCGTTGAGTTTCACGTCCAGAGCGTATGGATTCGCTTCGCCAGTCAGGAAAAACTACAAGGCAGAAAGAAAACCACTCCAGGTTAAACAGGAATCCATTCTGGATGGAATAATAAACTATGCTTGCATGTCACGCATTTCCTAAGAAGAGAAAGCCTGACTCCCATCTTGTACTAAATCTACAAGATGGGAGTTCCAGACTTTTTAAATAGTAGCGTTAATTATCAAATCATTCCAGGAATTGAGACATGGAAGGCTCTCGATGAGAATTTAAGATAGTAAGACTTCAGGATGGTGATGAAACCCAAGTGATGTGATAAAATCTCCACACAAATGTACATTTTTCCATTGAAGAAGTCTCCCATCCCTCAAGCATGTGAAGAGAACAAATAAATATCGTCACCGGCTATACGTTTTGGATTACCTATACCATTGATACTGCGGGAGTTTAGCTAACGTCCTTGAGGATTCACATCCCAGACGGCTTCCCTCTCTTCGTGAGCCATAGATATAATTAGACAAACCAAAGAAGAAAGGAGAGAACCGCAACCTCTTTGAGGGTGGCGATGAAGGCTTCCTCGGTGGAGATGTCCATCTCGATGTACTCCTGGTTGTTCCGCACGAACTGGAGGAAGGAGCGGAGCCAGGAGAATGTGAATAAGGGGTCGCCGACGAACTCCAGAGCCTCCATGCGGGTCATTACTTCCTCGATTGCTTCTTGGGTCGCATTGTCCGAGTACATGATGTCACCCGAGAACACCACCTGAAACAACCCCGAACATGTTTAGTAAGGTTGACATTAAAGGCTTTCACCGGGATTTCGGCAAGAACATGAGCAGGAATAGGAACCCTTAGATCTGGACGGGAAAGAGTAGTCCCAACTTCCTAACTCAACTTATTAAATTTTTATTGTATTCTCCACCCCTCATCCTGACATTTAAGCGCATTCCTGTAACGGTGCGAACATGACTGCGTAGATACAGCAATCGAATCTACGCAGTAGATTCGATTTACTCTGAGTAAAACGAGCCGGAAAATTTATGAGGCAGCCATTTCTTAGGGCCCCGAGTCCTCAAATACTTATTTAAGTCATTTTTAAACAGTTTTCGCTTCATGCCTGAAACTGGGCCATAAACCTTTGATTGAAGGCCTGTCAGATCATGGGGGAAATTCAGGTTTGCCAGATGTTGGATGATGCTTTATCCCGACCAATACCGCTTTATTGGAGTATGTTGCACAGCTGAATTGCATAGTATGTGGCTACTTTGAGCATGAAAAAAGAGTCCCAAAAAATAATTCCAAAGGAATGTCATCAAGTTGCCTCCACGATGAATTTAAAACACCATCTATGATATGGAAATTGTTATCCATTGAATCGCCTGAGTCCACATCCGTCACGTGTAAGACATGGCATGACGGGCGAATTGTCCATCACAAAGATCTTCTGTAGCAGTTAAAATATCCCCATCTGACATCCCTGAACTGTCACCCAACAGAGCTCTGAAGATGATTACAACATACCAGTACTGCCTTCCTCTTTCCTACCTCACTCCTGCCCCTTTTGGATCGTCACCATCCATCATCAATGACTACGACTGAGGTTACACTTACGGTTATCAGGTTAGCATAAAGTCGCGGCAATTTTTTTTTGTTACGAACGACGTAGTTTAAAGTAACATGTTTTCCACCACAGTGTAAGTAAGAAGTAACGAAAGGAATAAGCTCATGAACAATTTTTAGAACCGATCTCTCATGTCGGATATCTTCCGAGGGAAGCAATCTTCGGTAAGATGAAAGAGAGCTTCTTCAGAGAACGGACACGATCATTTGTGTCTATCCCTTCAAGACAGCCGATAACTTTCCCTTCGTAGGCAGGACATTAGCCTCGAATGCTAGGACTGAAAAGATCCCAGATGGATTCGACTCGAAGACGTACGCATGATCTATAAGCATACCATGGGCAATTCACATCGGGATGAAGAACCCAGAAGACTGAAATCGACAGACGTAATCTCAGTCTATAGATACTTTACTGTTCCTTTCTAGTTCCTAATTTTAAAGAAGAGAAAAGGGACTCTCTCCTACCAAACATGGGAGGAGAGGGTCCTCGGTTCAGGCCCGGATCAAGTCAGAATTTCAACAGCTCATTGTTTTCCTCATCACGATTGTCCCCTCGGAGATAAGAATCCAACTCAAGGGCATTTTGTTTTCTTCTCATCCAATTCGACAAGAACCTCTCCCCAATAGCTTCTTTTTTTCCTATATATTTTTTCCCAGAAGGAGGAATCAGTGTTATTATGAAGCAATATTGCCCTCTAGTTGCGAAATTGGAGTCTTTTTTTTTTTGGAGCGTCCTTGTGGTGGGGAGGGGTGTTCAGTGTAAACAAGAAAACGTTTCCTTTCTACATGAAAAGAGAGGGGGGGCCTTGAACTTCCCTCTCAGACATCGGAAGGATCTTGTCAGCGTTGTCTGTGACCTCACTTTCACTTCCCGTCTCTCTCTTAGTATGGATGAGGCTATGAATGACTGATTCCAAAGCAAGGCTAATACTGTAACAATTCTCTGGACGGATTCCAAGAGCTTCCCCTTCAGCATCCTGATGGAGTGCCGGGTTGAATCCAAATCACGCGAGATAGTCCGTTCAATGCGACGTGTAAGGGAGGTACGAGCAAGGATGGTCAGGATTCTGTGTTATTGCAGCCTCATCAACCAACCAATGAACACATACTGATCTCATGATTTTATCAGATGTTACTGACACATCCAAGTAAGAAAGCAAGATGCTTTCAAACTTTCCAACCTACAGTTACCTTGAGAAAAGTCCCAGTGGTCCAATTCTGTATAAAGTGACTACAGTGATATGATTAATGAAAAAATGTTGAAACTAAAATATAATGAAAATAAGAAATTACAAAATCGCATTTTAAAAGCGCGAAAAAGCGCAAAGTTTTCGTTCTTGCCTGTGCAGTTCTGATCCAGGCCCAACCTTTCTTCTCTAGCCAACCCAGGCTGGGAGGAAGTCAAACATTTAAAAAATTCATTTCATAAGGAGTGGTGCGAGCGAGGTGGGGTAGCAATTTGAGGTGACGGGTTCAAGATTTAAATACCGCAGGTCTCTGATACACACCTGGCTACGGCGCACCCTCCCCTCTTGCACGTTTCTTCCCGACTTTTTGGCCTACCTGAACTCGATAGGAGAATTCCCGGAAGTAGGTCTCTTCCTTTTCGTAGAAGGCGACGGAATAAGAATCGTCGAGGGAGAGTCGTTTCCTTTCCAGACCCTCTCGAGTCTTCGTCACTCCCCATGCTGCCATTGCCAAGTACGCCAGGAACACCATCACCACAAGAGCCTATGATTTCGTCACAGTCAGTCACTCAATCATATGTTTTCATCAGACGCAGTCAATCAATCACTTCCAGACAAGCGTACATAAAAAGTAATTAAAAATAGAATGGTAAAATTACGTAATTATCGTACATTTATCGCAACCACTCAGTATCATCTGGCAGGACAACATGAATTTGAAGAATAAAAACGTAGGAAAATTTTGAAGGAAATAAAATACTTGGAAGAGTGTCTTACCTTGATTGCAGGGATGGAGAGAAGTCGGGCGAGTTTGTGTTTGCAGAAACTCATGACAGCATGATCCTTGTTGTCCTCAGGATTATATGGATCTTCCTTTGACACCCCACCCGCGCAGAACACCCGGTACAACCAACTTCGCCTTCCTATATTAATCCACAGCTTTGAATGGATCATCCTTTAACATCCCACCCCTAAAGAACACGTGATGCCACCACATCCAACCCCCTACATTTCTTTTAAATAAGTCATGGAATGAACTGAAATCACTCTGTGCTCGGCCTCCTAGTGGTGGGAGAGGTGCTTGTACAAAATCTCATCAGAATAGTCGGGGAAGCACTCGGTCTGGATGGATACCTTGCTTCAGGGCAAGTGCTTCACGAATGAGGGCGAAGTATGCGTAAAAAATGTATAACTATTTGCAACCCCTGTGCCCAATTAAGATGAGGTGAGTGAAAAGGTTAAAGTTGGGGATGTCATCCATTTATGGCATGGCACTCGAGCTCCCTCTGCACTTTAGCACTTCACTACGGTTCTCACTGAATATTTTCTCAAATGGAAGTCCCATTTGCCTATATACGGGGCAAGCACGTCTATGCTAAATTTCATCGTCCAACTTTCCATTGTTTCCGAGATTTTTTTTATAACATCCATCCACCGATCTAACAGGATGAAAACAATCATTCCGCTCAAGAGCAGGAAGAAAACACTCCATCATATGCTCGTTTCATCAAGGACCGAGGAAGGACAGAGGGGAATCAGACAACTCAGGACTTCCTCGTCAATGGTCAGATTAATGAATGAAAGTCTGAATGAATGAAGGAATGGCCCTGGAGGAAAGGAAGACAGGGAGTCATCGACTCCCCGCCTAGCTGTTCCCATGTCAAAGGTCAAGGTAGACAGAGTAAGAAAGACTAAGAAGGTGCAGCTCCTTCACTTTGCCTCACTTCCGATCCACACCGATCTTTCCATCCATCAAAGACGTTCTCAAGGTCCTCTCCAAAAAAAAGAAGATATTTTATTCCTGCTCAAGAGGCATAAAAAAGAATAAAACCTCACCTGCTTGGGATTTTGGAAGGACCTTTTGGAAGGTGATGGAGTGCAAATTATTGGCCTCTTGATAGCCGAACATGGCTATGCAGGAACCAAAGAATGTCAGATGAGTGATGTACAGCGCCAACACCGCAGTACCTATAACGGAAAAAAATTACTCTTGCAACTAAGGCGATTGAAGACGTGCCAGAGAAAGATGGATCATTCCATCGTTTAAAATCTGTTAAGATATGCCAGACCCATCAACACCCATTAACAGACCCATTCATGTCTAAGATACAGGGGAAATTTTTCGGAATGAGGATAAAGGAAAACGATCCCACTGATGACGTGTCAGTATGAACTTGAGAAATCCTTGACATGGAATTCTGGAAATTCCCCTCATCATTCAATGTCCCTGACCATATGAAATTTCTAAATTCACCAATCTTGTCACATTCCTTTCCTTCATTTGATCGTGCTGCACAGGCAGACGAAAACTATGAAATATTTTTCGTTGTCACCCTGTTTCTCCACCGATTCTTTAATACCAGTAAGCGTAGCAGCAGGTTTAGCCTTCACTGTAAGATTTCAACATCTCGTTGCGAATGAATGGGAGGGAAGGGGAGACTAGAATGAAACAGTTTCCATGTCCGCCCCAGGGAGAAGGGCAGTTACGGTATATGACCCATTTAGTTATATGACCTATTAGTGACCTCATCACCAAACTGAGAACAATACTTTACATTTTCAACTTCCCCTCCCCCCAGTTGAGAAATACTGGCTGCAGGGCTGGATTCCAAGACACTTGCCTAAACTAGTACTGGTATTTCGAGGCTATAAAAAATGATAGAGGCGGGGCTGAGTCATCCTGGAAAAATCCAAGGCAGATTGGCAAGTTGAGAGGGAAAGAAAATAAGAGATTACGTAACCCAGGCTTGAGTCAGGCCAAGGGAGGATTCGAATGCAGCAATTCTTGGCAAAGGGCCGATTACAGAAGCAGAAATATAAATTTGAAAAATATATAAATACAAATGAAACCTGTCAATATTAAAAAAAAAGAAAGAGAAAGCGAGACCCTGAGATATTTCCCAGTATCGTTTCCTTGGGGAGGGAGTCTGCGAGATCGAGATGGATGCATGAGAATGCGGCTCAAGGTCGAAGCAAGGATTTCTTTTACCGCATTTATTTCCTATGCAAATGAGACCCGAATAGTCCGGAAGGATGGGAAATTCAAACACGCCTCAGGCATCTGCGATGGGGAAATCATACACAAAAGGAAAAAATTAGACATACGTGAAGCCTTTGGGAATTTTATTTCTCGGAAGGAAGTTTGGCCTTAGGGATTGCGCAAGGAAGTAGGCATTTCCCGGAATAGAAAACAAAGAAGGTCATCGCATGGAGAGATTTTGATTAATTGAAAAGTCTTGCGCCGAGAGGGGGGATACGTCGCGTTTTCTTTTATTCTCCGTTCACTTCACTTTAACCTCGTGTCACATTCTCATTCATTCATGAAACTTCAACTGCATAATTTATTTTTTCTCGCAGCGTTTGCAGATGTTAGAGATCACGTGACCTGATTAACCCTATAAGTGCCAACCGTTGATAAATTCGACGTTGATAGGCCACCGTACTGCTTCTGGCACTTCGAGGGTAAGGTGGAATTTCATTTTTCGGGTCTGTCTCTTCTGTATAGGCCTATAAAAGTTCAAGAATGGAATTGGGTCAACTTCATCGTCAGATCACAACGAATTACGATCTGCGAAGGTGACCAACATTTGGTGTGACATTCCCATCGCATCAATTTCCACTTTATCCTTCAGAAAATGCATTTTTCTTGGAGTGGAATCGACGAAGGCCTTTTTCGGGGGAACCGCAAATGAGCTCGCCGACTTCCCCTCCTGGCTCTGAGGAAAAAAACCGCATCGTTGAGCTTTACTGTCCCTTTCCCAGTCCATTCCTTCTCGACTCGAAGCAAAGGAAGAAAGTTCGCTTGGAAGGGGAAGGGAGAAGAGGAAATGCGAGACTAACGTTGCGTAAAATTCACATGGGAGAAGTCATCCTGACGAAATCGTCATGCTGAGATGATTTGAACGAAAGGTACGATTCTTTTCGCTACAGGTGGTTTTTTTGAAACAGTTTGTCCAGACAAGAAAAAAAAATGTTAACCCTATTGTGTCACCGATCTATCCCGGTATGAGTCAAAGGGAATGCGACGCAGTTCGACTATGGTCGAACTACGCCTCAACATTTTTAAAATGTGCATACTTATGAAGAAAAAAAACTAAAAATTAAGCTACGCAGCGAAAGGGTTAAATGAGTTGTGCTCCTCGAATAATTATTTTTCCGCAAAAGGCCGAGACTCCGAAAGCGAAGGAGTCGACAGTTGCTAAAGATTAGTTATCAGTATAGGCCTACTTTGCCAGAGAAGCTGAAATCGAAGTCAGTGATCCTACATATCGGAAAGGTAGCCTAGGTTTAGGCTCATCTTAATATGCTTGTCAAGGCGGTTTGCTTTTCGCTAGGATAAGGCACTAAAAGTCCGTTAACAGCTAAATGGAGTTCAAGAACCCAGAATAAGAGTTGCTAAATCAGGATCAATTTAGGACCTCATCAGGACCAATGGGACGAAATTTCAAAGTTAGCAACTCAACAGGCCGACTTCACAGAGATACACACTATGGTGGAAAGCGAAAGTAGAGGTGAGGTCGTGGCCGCCTTACACCTGTCAGTCTTATTTTTATAAAACAAAGCAAAATAAAGCAAGGGACCAGTACGGCACTTATAACTCCATGGGCGGAAATATTTATTTTAATGTGAAGAAAGGCACAGTATGATGTGTCTCCTCTTTAGTAATGTTCGATTAATCGCCCATCGGTGATTTATAAAATGAGGATAAGATTTTTCCCTCCCTAAACTATAAATAGGTCACTTCGGAGAGTGAGCAACAAGCCACCTTTTAATTTACTAACACGTCAAAAGGGGAGATGAGGGAACACTCCGCGGAAAATCTAGACTCCCGTAAAGAATTTATCTTTTAGTTTCATGCGAGAATGAAGGCATCTCAAGGCATTTAGCTTTGTAAAGCCGAATGGGCGTGGTTTCCTGTAGTGGAAACTATCAAGATATGCAGAACATGAAAATATTTTGGAGATGTTTGATGAGATGGAAGAAAGCAAGGTGAATGCAGTGAAGCACAAGAGGGACAGAGGAGGAACGAAGGTCATATTGGCATGAGTCATGCATGGATCGTGGAGGGGGTTGTTGCCTTGTAACGGTGACACGCCATAGGAAAACAATTTCTTTGTCCACCTTTTTTTCCTATGTCTTCGGGATGAGATTCTTTCAATACTAAGGTTCGCTTTGGGATCTGAAGGGCAAGGACGAATTTGGAATTCTTCTTCCTGGCCTTGGTCAGCGTCCGAGGGGAGAGAAGTGAATGAATTCATTCCATTTTCTTCCCCCCGTTACGAGGGGGCAGTCAAGCAGGAATGAATGTCATAAATGGAATGGAAAGAAAGACCTTGAGGGTCTCAATTTTTCATGGGAAGAACCTACCTTACCTATTGTACTCTCACCTCGAACACGTTCACGCTTTCCATGAGCAGGTCATTCCATCACGCTTTCTTTGAGCATATTGCTCCATCACGCCTTCAAGAGAACGATATGAGAAGCGCAAAAAAATACTTTTTTTTTGCAGCAATGCGGCAGCGCCACATTGCCATTGCCACATTGCCACTAAAGTAAAGCATAAATGGGAGCAAGCTAATACGAACGATCCAACAGGTGGAAAAAGAATACCACAAAGACCTTGCATTATATATGTTATTTGCATGTTTTTTAAATACTTTTCATGGCTCTTTTTGCGCAATAGACGAACCATGGACAGTGTGAGCACATTTCGTGAAATCTGAAAGTATAGTGTTCGGAGCTTTGCAATTTAAACACCTTTTTACGATATTCCAACGTGACTTTTGCAATTGGGAAGTTATTACTTTTAACTACACATTTTGTATTAATGTCACGTTCTCGTATGAACTTGGTAATGTAGTGAATCATGGCGTGAAATGCGATATGTTTTGTCCTTGTCCAATAAAATACACTCAACAAATTTATACTGCACGTTTGTCACTGGTTAAATGCTGAGATTCCCCAAGACAGGAATGAGCCATAAACAAGAGATTCCATTCACCTTGTCCTTGTATGAATCGATAATAAATATAATTCACAAGTGGAAAAGGCGCGCAAGAGGCATGCAATCTTTTACGAGGGTTTCTAAAAAAGATGTTTGAATATGGCCCATTTCGTTTCTCCTGTTAAATTAATGTTTTCTACAGCGGTAGCTTTAAGTAGGACAGTGTTAACCAAATCTTAGACGGTTCAAAAATATTATTTTTACTAACGACTTTCGTGTTGATTACTGTTGCATGGTTTGCATAGTGAACTATGAAGATCGAGAGGAGAGATTTCGAACCACGATTTCGCAATATTTTACACTGGACGTTTCTGCCAATTATTCCAATGACATATTTGCATGAAGCCCTAGCGGACCAGACCCCATCAAACGCCGCGGTCTTCAATCGGTTTGCAAAATTTAGGCGTATCAGAGTGCCGCTCAAAGATGATGATCGATCATGGAGACCTGCAACTGCAGTAACCACAGAAATGGTGACCGAGGTGTAAAACCTAGTTAAGACAGATGCTCACGTTACCTATGCACAAATTGACGACGTCTTGGACCTAACTTAGCCGATTGTCCGCAACATCTTCCATAAAAATTTAGGTTTGAGATAGCCGTCTTCCCATTAGAAACACAAAGCAAAGTCGTTTCTACAGTAGAAGGGGGAGACAAAGGGGGTAGCTGAAACCAACACTTACCAAGGTAGGGGTAGTACACTCTTAGGGTGGATTTTTGAACAGAGTACTATCCGATAATACAGCTTTATTTACCGGATTTATCATGCATTTTCTGTGAAATAAAGCTGCATTATCGGATAGTGCTCTGTTCAAAAATCCACCCTTAACCTTTTCCGGTCCGTATTTCTTGACAAATTTATTCCCAGCCCGGTCCGATTTACATACCCCTGCTCTGGAGCTCTCACCATATACCATAGGACTTTTTCCCTTCTATTTATTACATTGTTACTGAAAACAAAGCACATCTCTTACACTCTCTAAACGCTACCTTTGTGTCGGGGGAGGCCAAAATAGTACCCACCAACGAAAAATCGAATGCCGGGGCTCCCCCGGCAGTGGACAGGAGAAGGGTCTCCAGTCTTCCTTTCATTTTACTCTCGTTTTTACTCTGGAAAGCAAAAACGGCGATAAAATTGGAGCCGTTTTCCCTCTCCTTTTACCCTAATCAGAGTCGAAAGGGAGGGAAACTGGAGCGAACCCCTTCATTGGCAGGTTTTCTGACGCTACGAGAGAAGCTTGAGAATTTCTTGGGCATGCCAGTGAAGGGGTTAACGCTTGCTATTTTTAAAGTGTAGAGTAAACTCGCATAATTGCAAAAGGAGTTGTGGGGGGGAGAGGTCTCCATGCGTGAGCCACTGTAAAACGTCCCTGGGCGCACCCAACCATTGGAAAATGTGCCTGGGCGTCACCCACCCTGGGCCAGGCCCCCTGCACTCTTACAAAGGAGGTTATGTGGCAACTACGCCTACCTGAGGATCGGCGCACAATCATTGCGAATTGGTATGTGAATGTCTGTGATCCTTTTGTCCTTGTCTTAAAGTGTTTGAAAGTTTAAGTTGGACCACTTGGTAACCAAAGACCTCCCCAAGGGATGTCAATGACATCATGACATTGCCAGTGCACAGTGCACACCTGGCAGCACGAACCGTTCAATTTATTGCGGAAAATTATGCGGCGGACTTGCAGGTCCATCCACCATTTTCGCCAGAACCCGTAATACATTTTTTTTTCCCTTGGGAAAAGAAAAAATCCGTTAAAGTGCATTTTGGCAGCCCAGACGCAGCCAGAGAGTTATACAAAAAAAGAGGTAATTTCTGAAATGCCTCTAGAAAAGTAGGCGGAGGGCTTTCAAACTTGGTTCCATCAAATGGAACTTTGCATACAAAGTCGAGGAAAATAATTGGAGAAATTGTCAAGATTTGAACACAATTAATTTTTTAGTCGAATAATTTATTTGTGACCCTTGTACATCAGCGATAGATTTCAGTCCCCCTCTAGTAAGAGTTGCGTCCATTTTTCCAAGTTAATTGGAACATGTCGATAAGTGAGAATCGTGTGCTTGCTTGTCATACATTGTTCAATGGTTCAGATCAATAAACTTTTAGGCTTTCTCAATTCACCTTATGTCCAACGGGAGATCTACTGTATTGAAGTTGTAATGTCACTACTGCGCATTGCTAGTGCCGGCGGGCACAGAAGTTGTTTACATTTTTTTCCACTCTGAAGCGGTCATAATATATGACTCGAGACACCACACTCCTACCGTCCACATTTGTCTTCTTGATTTGCCCTGATCCATACATACAGGATATTCGATACGCAACAAATTATTTAAATTAAAGAATTCGTAACTCACCGACGAAGAAACAGGAAAAACGAGTACAGGGACTACAGAACATTTTGACAGTTTGTCATGAAATTTGAGATTGACTCAAGACACCATGGAATTTCTTGTCTCCTATTTTTGGATGGAACTACTGGCTTTGGGATAACCTGAAAGGTCCCAGCAGAAAGGCAAGATGTATCGTGACGATCCACATGATCTGGCCGCCATAGTAAAGGAGGTTGCAACCAGGTAGCAACCATTCCCTCCTGCCGCCTGTCGAGAAGCTGGTGGCCACTTCGTGGAACACGAGGGCGCTTGAAGTCGGCGGTGGACACTTTGAACACCTTATACTTTACACCCTGCCTTCAAACTGAAATTGGTAGCAAAAGTAAATTTCTGCCAAATTTCAGCTCTAGCGGTACATATCTAAAAACACGAGTCAAACAATTCCATAATGTCTTGAGTTACAGTGTAATGTCAATTTCCGTGGCAATCTGTGAGGCTATTCAGAACTTGAGTTTTTCTCCTTTGAGCCTCTTTGTGCTATAAATTTTTGTATTGCATGCTTATTCGTAACTTCTCATTATATTAGTGAAAAAAGGTATTTACCGGTGTAAATGCAGAAGATACGGACGCATGGGATGTTGGTAATAACGCCGACAAAGAATGAGATGATGTTGGTGAGGGAGGTGATGGTGATGCTCACGGCGGCCTCACTGAAGCTCTCCCTCATCCGATCGCTCACGGGTAAGTCCATCCTCGTCCGTCGCCACGCTGCTAACATCACAAACGTGTCGTCCATCCCGATCCCTGTAAATCCATTATCAACAACAATGATTTAAATTCACAACACCAATAAATCATAAGAGCTTTTAGATGGCACCGGAGTCATTCGAAAAAAAATTGTCAGCCTCAAAATAAAAAAGAACTAGTAAAACAAAGAAAGAATGCATCGAATGCGATAACCACGTCCCACTGAGATAGATAGAATGGTAGTAAATTAGATTTAAAAAAAAAGCGATAGTCAAAATATGAGCTTCTAAACACATGCAGTGCTTTACAGATTATGAACACACAGGTGAATCCATGTGGGATTAAAATAAAAAAAAACCCTAGCTCAATATTTTAACAAAACACACCTGGGCGCCACCCACAGCTAAGATTGAGTTTTCGTAAGCTCTCACAGGAGAGGAATAATTCCCCAACCTCAAGATGATTGCTTGTCTGGAATGCATCCCACGCTATGCACCATAGTACACATGCACAGGTTAATTTTTATAAAATTGCTTATGTATGAATTTGAGGGTTTTTTTCTTTGTGTTTTATCCCACACCTGGCGGATGAAGAAAAAAAAAAGATATCTCATGAAGTTGAAGGTGAGGACTGGGATGGGGGGAAAAAATAAGGAAGAGAGAGATGAAGGTGCGGCGGTCACACAAGGTCGAACGACACGTACGTCTACGCTCCCTTCTTTTTCCAGTCAGGAATTGGGAGGGGAGAGATGGAAAAATTATTAACTTCCTTCTCACATAGGGGAGTATCTCCCTAAAAGCATTCGCGTGTCATCAAATGACGACCAAAAAAAAGAGGACAGATCGCGGCTGCTGTCAGATTCCTGTCTTGGAGACAAAACTTCGACACGTGTTTTGTGAAATTTTCAAATAATAAATTCAAAACATCGCAGGAAGGTAGAAGGCTCATCAATCACAGTTCCCTCTTTTTCATGAGAAAGGACTTCCTTGAGTCTGAAAAAAAAAACCTGGGAGAGGCTTCTAGAAGCCACTCCACTCATTCTCGATGCGGAATCTTCCTGGGTACCCTGGGGGGTTTTCGGTGCCGGCTCGTCTACTAGGTCCATTTCATTCCCTCCCCTTCCCCCCCCCCCCCCCCCCCCCCCCCCACCTTTCATTCCCCCCCCTCCCCCCCCCCCCCCCCTATTACGTAACCGACATTTTACGTGTCCCCGGAGGGTAATGTGTAAAAGACGATAGAAAGCGAAAACCAGCCCCTTGCATAAGTCAGCGACACCGGCATAATGTGGTCCTCCGGGTATTACGGAAGAATACTCCGTTCTTGTTCTTTTCGTCAAATAACATTCGGGTTAAAAGGTTTTCACAAAATACGTAAAGAGTCTAAGAATTCTAGCAGGTGAAGTCTTTTGGCAAACTGTTCGCACTCGGGCTTCTTAGCTTAGAAATTTACATGCTCTATGGATTTTACAGAAAAAAAGCAAAGCACGAAATGAAAATGTCTACTGGGAATATACTAAGACTTTCTTCAATATCATATCTAAAATATCCCTTCTTTTCACTTTACGATGGAAACATCCGAAAAAAAACTTTCGTCAACTTGTTGCATCATTCCTCCCACAAATGGACTTCCGCTACTCTACGAGGGAAGGTCAAATTAAAAACCGTCCTCATATCCTTGATCTTATGGGATATATTTCCATGAAATATGCACTGCTCATAGGCTATCACTTTTTATATTCAAGAGACCTGGTGAGTTAGTAATGCTCACGTTAATGACAAAGAAGAATGGTCAATAGTGTCTCAAATGATTCTCCAACGAAATATAAATATTCTGTAAGATCTTGTCCGGAGCAATTTTTTTTAGCTAGCATCACTATAATTGGACGAAGCGTTTAACAGCTAGAGGGCGAAAACCAAAAAAGTAATTTAGCACAACGCAGCAACTGAATACCTCAGCCACTATATTCATGATTATCATGTAACCGACAATGGGATCTTCTCCAATGAAATCAGTAAGCCAAATGTCAATTTAGTCGGGATACATGCAATCAATTTTACTTAAAAGTTTACTTGACGGTCTCGCCCTCTAACGGCTAAAAGCTATGTAATGCTTGAGGATTCCAGCAAATAAATTGTGGAACTCGACCGAACCTCTCAGAATATAAATATTTCATGGGAGGCACGATTCCCATAGAATATACCTCGTATGAGCTTCGTCCTTTAGTGATTCGTGCCGCCATTTATTCGGCAATAGTGTACAGCGCGGTTCTCAGATAGAGGAGGATATTCTATTTCACATGAGACACAATTTTTGCGAACAGAAGTTCTTTCGGAAGCTGACATGCTTCTGTGAATGACAGGCCTCTGTGAATATGTATAATATGTGAATACGTATATAATGCCCTCGCCGAGAAGTCTTTACCTTGGAAATCTCTTCGAAGGTCTCTCATACTTTCTTTCTTTTATAGAATTTGAGGAGACTCGTTTTTCTGCTGTGTAAGGAAAACCCTGAAGCAAATTCTGTCATGTCTTTGCAAATGACACGAGGAAAGCGGCAGGTGTGAAGACATTCCAGAGCCGGGTTTGCAAGCAAGAGATTCCGCAGCACCGCGAGAACACTCTGAGTCCACCTTGCAAGTCCTCAGTTGACAAGAGTGGGGAAATTCCAGCAAGCCAGGAGTAATTTTTTTCCATTCCCCTATTTAATGACACATTCCCTCCCTCCATTACCCCATACCCGAGGNTATATATATATATATATATATATATATATATATATACAGTATATATATATATACGAGTATATGCAGAGTGGGGCAAAAGTCATTATACAGCTGTTGAATATAAAAAATTGTTTAAGTTCTAACGCCATATTGCCAATTATTTACAACAAAACACAAATAACACGAGAAAATGATCGTGCAATGTAATTTCAAAACCTATCAGCTTCATCCAATAGTATTACTCTGAAACAGAGGACCAAATTAGCAAAACAGCTATTTTAAGTATACAAGAACTGTATAGTAAACTTTTGCCCCACCCTGTATATCGTAATGGTCTTACCGTTTCCCTGTCCATTGTCTTTGCCATCCCATTTTCTCAGCCCTTGCACCCTGAGAAAGAAAAAAGATAGAGGGCTCTCCCCTCCCTAATCCCAAAGACGAATGAAATTATCCACCTCTTCTATCGAATTCGAATGAAGATTCATTTCAATTACTCTGTAAAAACTGAAGCAAGTGCAGAAAACCTATACGCACTCCAAGAATTGGCGCTCCGGAATGTGCGATAATGCGGCCTCTGCAGTAATTTTACCCCAAAATACATGCGTAAAACATAAAATAGAGGCTGGGATGCGGAAGTTAAGGTCATGATGTTTCTCCATTGGGTATCAGGTGGCTTATCAATGCAAAAGCACCTCGATTATTTTCGTCTCCTTTATATGCAACAGACTCATACACCCGCTACCAGGTTCTTAGACCTCCCCTGTATTTTCTTTTGTCCATCTTCTCGTGAGTCAGCAGGTAAACAGATTTCCGGGTATCCAGGCGGCACCATCCTCATTAAGGGATCGGTCAAATGACAACTAATTTCACATATTTGCACAATGAGGTGTAACAGTCACAATGGAGCTCACATCCAGTTGAGGTGAAGGCCTTCACCTCGGCTTCTAGAAAGCACCATGAGCTCACCAAAACAAACCAGGATCTTCAGGGTTTAGAACCGAAATTACTCCATTCTTCAGAGGAATCAATTTTACATTAATTCTAAAAAATTAAGGGAATGGGTCGGAGTGCCATCCCTTTGTCGGAGTAGGGAGATAAATAAGAGGAGACGTTATTGGCAAAGATGCACTTGGGAAAGCATGAAGAGGTGACGACGCCTTTCATGACCCTCTTCAACTAGCCTTCGGAGTCCTGGTTCCAGAAATGACAAATGATGACCTTGTCTCTACGAAAAACTCAGTCAAGCACAAAATGGGATTTTAAAAGTAAGTAATTCGTTCTGAAAAGGGACATTGGTGTCCTTGCCCTGTCGTCGATATTCATAATGTCCTTGGAGACAGTGGACGGTTTCGGAATCTTTAATTTCGATTGAGTCGGACCAAAGGAAAATAAATCTGGAATGACAAAGGCCACATTCCTCTCTCTCCAGTTCATTTGCATGGAAACTACTCGGATGAAAGAGGCTTCTCGACAGAGAGTTTGTGCTCCACTCAGGGTCAACTGGGACAAAAAGAAGACCCGCATCTAGTGTCAAGGCCACAAATGGCTTTTCCTTGTTGTTATCTTCAATGGAGACGATCCACGCACTTCAGGGGACGTGACACAGCCTACACAGTACTAAAACGAGTACTTCGTGATTTATTGGTACACCTTCGAAAAACTGCCCCCACGTGGAGTCTGATGCAATCACAGGGGGGGGTTTCCCGATGGCCTTTATGCAAATGGTTTTTTGGCGGAATTTCACCGGAAAGCCTATCTCTCGTGATCCCGGATTACCCTGGAAAAGGGAAGGGGAGAATAAACTAGGGCAATGTCACATGTATATACGACAAGATGAGATGAGATGCCCTGCACGTCTGCCTTTCACTCAAAGGAAAAGAGACACTCTTCCTAGTCGACAACATCGACCTTAACCCTTGAATGGGAGTAAAAGTAGAGCAGAACCCCATGTGTACCTGACGAAGGACTAGAGATAGAATCAAGGAAGATGACAGACGAAGACTGATTCCAGCCCAAAATTTCGGGGTTTTTTGTTCAGGGGCTCGGGCAAGCTGCGGCCTTGCAAGGAGAGCCACTATCGCCGTTAGTCAATGAATCAGACGGGATAATTATGACTGTTAATCGCATTCATCATGTCACAGGGAAGGGAAGGGGTGATTCCTTTTTCTTTCAAAAGAACAGTGCTCAAATGGCACCCCTGACCTTTTCAAGTCAGGGCCGACTCTTCTTCGAGGACCCGATCTGTGACTACGCATTAGTTTCTCATGCAGATGAAGCGGGAAGATGAGCAACAAGTGAACAAGAAGAAAGGAGGAAGGAATAGAGAATAGCTTCC